TTTTTGTTGCTGCACACCAGTCCTGTTATTTCTCCCAGTGGCCCCTCCATGCTTGGGTTAAACTGGAGGGTAAGATCCTGTAATCACTCTCACGTCGAGCCCTTATTGAAAGTTTCCAGATTTAGTCTGCCGTTCTAGAGACTAGACAGAGAGGAATTCTTTTTTTCATAATGAGTAAAAAGGATTATGGGAATATTATTTCAAATCAACTTTCTTTTCAAACATTCTATGCTGATGACGTTATTGTTTTTACATGTCTATTTGAACACAAACAGTACAGACCTACAGTAGTATCCAATTGCAGTCTGTCATACCGCATAGAAATAGTTAGAAAGTTTCCTTATTTGATCGTTCATTTGTAATTTTCTTTAAACTGGTACTTTTAAATCCCATTTACATCATTATTTAGTAGACTCTTTTGTTTGGTTTTTAAAACGAATATTATTCATAACCCTGGCAGCTTCAATTTGTTCTCAGTCAACCAAAAGGAATGGTAATACAAGAAAATAAATACATTAATGTAAAAGGAGTATTAATAAATGAATAATGAAATAAATGCTTAACATTTAAAAAATAATAACATAGGGAAAATGTATGATTCATTTAAAGAATAGTATAAAAATAGAAGGTACAGAGTGGAGCTGTTATGACAGCTGTTATATATATATTTTTTTCCTAATAATTAATTTTAAGAAGGGATTTGATCTTTAAAAAAATGTTAAAAAGCAAAGGAATTGCTTTGCAAACCCTTTTTTAAATTTTATTTTACCTAACCAAAAAACATTTGCTGCTCTGTAAAGGTTTTGTACCTGCGTCACGGAGGCTCGGATGGTTGGTTTTGTGATTTTTAATATCGGTCTTGTGCATATTTACTATCCTAATACTGGTCCTGAAATATCTGATTTAAAGGTTACGTTTTTACTTTACCATTTTAATTTCTTTAGAATTCTATTTTATTCTCAGTATTCATATTTAATTTTTTTTCACTCTTAAGTAACTACGTTCGATCCTTATTTTGATTTCTACCTCTCACCACAGTTGCATAATTATTTGCTATTGTCACAAAACATTTTCCATGAAGAGATCTATGACGGATCACTTTAGTTGATGGTGTCAAAAAGTTGATGGAAACAATATTAATTTCTTTCTTTAATCAATCCGGTTCACAGTATAATGCTGTGACACAGTTCAGTCTATTCTATCACTCAATATGTGCCATCAGAAAATTACCTAGTAAAACTTATATGACCAGTACAGCCAAAACCACTATTTTATTATTATTTTTCAATTTTTCATATTGCCTGTATTGCACAGTAATCTCTTTTATACCTTTAATAGTAACCCCCCGCCCACAAAATTAAAAACATTTTAGCTTCTTTATTAACTTTAATTCAAAAATAATTCCAAAGCCAAACGCTTTTTTTTATTAAATATTATTTTGCTTCTCTGAATAACTATTTGTCTTCCTCCTTATGAAGTTCAGTTTTATCAGAGGGTTTAGTTTAGCTCATGCTAAAAAGAGGCTCTGTTGATTAACAAGGTTTCATAAACTTCTCTTTGGCCAGAGGTAGATAATTTAGATGGAAAGTTTTTTGTTGTTTTTCTTTCTTTTTGACTATGTGTGTTTATTATGGAAAAGATCACATGAATAGTTTCTAAAATCCCCTTCATCTCTTCAAAAAATGACATGTTGATAAAGTTAATATTTTACTGGTTGGAGGGTTTATTGTCTGTCCTGCTTGGTGGTTAACGGCGTTTGTACTGCAGCCATGTGGTTATAGACTCATAACTTGAATGTTTTTTTTTTTCTTTTGAGAAAAACAAACAAATTTCTTATATTTCTTGACTTAACTTCTTCTAAATTCAGTTTGAATAAACAGAAGGTTTTTCTGAGTCCACTGCTACTCAGTGAATCCGGCTGTTTCTCTTTTTTGGTCAGTGGTCCATCATTTCTTTGGGGTGTTTTTTTTTTTTTTTCTCTCTTTATTTATTTTATTTTTTGTGTAAAATAGTTTAAATCAAGGGGATATATTTTTTTTTATTTCTTCACATCACAAATGTCTTTAATTAATAACATCTTAATAAACTGTATATAATGTTGTAATTTAGGAGGGTTCAAGCTCGAGCTGATAATTAGCACTCCTGACTCAACTATTCATATTTCAAATGCCTTATTTCTGCCTTATTTCTGATTATTCTTAATGGGCTAAAATCACATAAACCAGGCTTTTAGGCCAATTAAAGGCATGAAATCAAACTTAGGCGCAGGTGTGCAGAGTTGTTGGAGGGACTGGTGGATGAACCTTTGCTATTAGAGGCTGAGACAGATAAAACATTTTTTATTGGAGCAAAAACTGTTGGCTAGCTTGGCATTTATATATAAAGACTCATCATAAATATGTATATATATATATATATATATATATATATATATATATATATATATATATATATATATATATATATATATATATATATATATATATATATATATATATAAATTGTACCATTTTTTGTTGAATTCACATCTATATGTCAGGGCTTTAACTTGAATATATAACAGATGAGATACTGAGAATATAAGAAAAAAAACAAAGAATACCTTTCTTATTAGATTTAGTTAATCTCTATGTTGGTTTAGTGCAAAGAAAATGCTAAAAATGACCCTCATGTTCAATAACTAGAAAGAGTTTTAAAAACTTTTGGATATCAAAAAAAACAAGACGCTTTAATGATTCTTTTTTAGTATTTCTGTATCACTTGTTGCTGCTACATAAACCGACATCTTAGCTTTGGGCACTTGGAACAAATTTCACTGACAGTCCAGATGAAAAACTTAAATACTCTGGATCCTTTTTTTCAATTAAAGTTAATAAGAAATAATAATAAAAAAATCTTAAAGTAAAAAAACAAAACACTGGTCTTTGGCAGGAAAAAAAAAGAGTTATAATGATTTTATGCCACAACAAATATTGTCATTTGAGTAATGTGCAAACTTTTTAAGGCAATTTATTTAACTGTCTCATATATATTTCAGTTGTTGCTTCTTTTTTTATCCCAGTTTTTCCACCACACTGATGTTTGCTTTGACCTCCGCCCGCTTCTCTCCTTCGCTCGCTTTCACACGTTGCATCCTGTAAGGATTGAGAAGAAAGGTGTTAGAAGTAAAGCTGCCTCTTTTTCACACCTTTACTTCTCTCACTCTCAAATGCCATCTTCCATTTGCCATTTCTCTCTTTCCTTTGCTTCAGAGAGGTTAATTTATATTTAAGAGAGAAAACAAGGATGCGTGTATAGGGGTGGTGTGTGCAGCCTGCTGGAGGGAGAAAGGGTATGATTACCGTACAGTTTATGAGCTACTGCAGCCTGCATTAGCCTGTCTGTCAGCCTAGACCTTAAAGACAATTATAGAGGTTTGAGCCCAGTATTTGGTCTGGTGATTGAAACCCAAACCAGGCAGAGGGAGAAGTTTCTCAAGTATTAAGACCAGCTGCAAAAGCAAAGCCTGCATCAACTGAAAGAGGTGTGATTATCGCAATAATTTCCCCGCATCTCCTTACTTCTCATATTTCTCTGTTTTTGTCCATTTTCGCACATTTTCTTGAGCTTATGAGTCCACATCCCCTCTTTTCCTCCGATCCTCAATATTACTCTCACTGCTTCTTTAGCTCTCTCCTCTCCCCTTCCCATGCATACTGTAGCCTGTAGGTTGGGCATCTTTAATGGAATAGCTGACGATCTGTACGCAACGGTGAATGTTTGTGCTGAAATCTCGCTGATATATGCCCCGGGTCACTTAGTAACTATCTGCAGTGAGGGGTTTCCGTTTATCCATCCGCCTGCACGTCTGTCCATCCATCTATTCATCCGTTCATCCATCCATCAATGATCCCTCAAACATGGACATGACAAAAATATTTTGTGTACCTCATTTTATTACCAAAATACAGGCTTTAAACTGAGGCAACCAGATTTTTTCTCAGGTTTTCTAAAAACAGATGTTCAATTTCCTCCAATTTAAAATGATTTTGTGTTTACCATGAGAATGCACAGATAAACTCATTTGATTGTAACTCAGAACTCTATATCGGGAATATCTGTTCTTGTTAAATAAAAAAATACTATTTGCTTTATCTTGTATGGGTAAAGGCATGAACATCTAAATCCTTACACAGTATTAGATTGTATTTTTAGAAAATGGGTAATAATACTGTAACCATAAAAGCAAACCATGATTTTATTGAAGCTTCGTCAGTTATTTGAGGAATATTATCCAACTTTTATTTACATTTATGCTGATGATGCTGTGTTTAGCATATTTGGGGTCTGTTCATTTTTGTGTGATTTTTCAATAATAAAGGAGCTTTTAAAACCTAAAATATACAATATATTTAGTAATTATCTTCCTTTAAAAAGCAGTCTTTGAATCCCTTAATTTAGGCATAAGCAGTGACAGTAAAAGAGAATTACCCTTTTCTTCTGTTACTCATCCATCACAGTCTAAATTCTAATAAATCAAGACCAGTTTTCCTCCCCAATCAAGCACTGATTTGCATCTCAGGGGCTCCATTTTCTTTCATAAACACTTTTGATTGGATTATAGAGCCCCCAGCCAGTCCCTGCTTTTCTAGATTAAAAACATCTAACAAAACCTTACCCTCACCCCTGCTTTAGTTATTCCTGCAGCCCAGGCAGCAATTGTAGTTGATATCAAGCGGGTTAGTCCATACCGTGCTGGAGGGGGGCGTTAATGAACTCCAACAAGTAAACAAGGATTTATTAAACTGCTGCTGCCTGTTTTTTGTTGTTGTTTTTTTTGTCATTTTCTGAGCTTCTGGGGAAGTTTGAAATACTTCCTCTGCAAAAGTTACTCCAGCAAGGCTGCCTTTGTGAGAGGAATCCAATATTTGCTTCTTCTGCAGAACCAGAGAGCTATTTCAAAAGAAAAACTTTTTTTCCTTCCCAACTAATTGTCTAACATTCTTTTTCCTTTCTTGCAGCTACATCAGATGGGACGCGCCAAGGCCTGGACAGCATGAGAGGGGGCGTATGTGCTACAAAAGGCATGAAGGTGGTCCTGAAAGTGGGACAGAGTAAGTCCTCTCTACTCCCTATTTGTTTTATTTCAGAAACAGCTCTGCCTCACACAGATTACACCCAACGGATGGAATAAATGCCTATTTTTGTCCATCGGACATAATCGAATCACTTAACAACATGGCGTGATCGGCTAGCCTGGGTCACATCCGTGCAGAGACGGAGCAGCTCACTTTCATTAGTGCACCTCATCTCCTCCACTTTTAAACCATCCGTCTAATCTTGCTGTCTCTCAGACTTGCACGTTCAATGAACACAGTGGAGGGTGCGCAAACCCTTATTTCTTTCTTTCTGGGCTACATGTGTGCCCTCACTGAACATATTAGGCCTCGTTAAGTGGTGAGAACAGCGCAGAAGTGTGGGATCAGTCAGCTCTAATGAGGCCTGTTGACTCCCTTCTCACTCTGCCTTTTAACTGCTACCGACTCATACTGGCCCCACTCTCACTTTATATATATATATATACATATATATACATATATATATATATATATATATATATATATATATATATATATATACACAGCCCTGTTGGTGCACGGATACAGAGGTGTCCAAGCAGGCGTCCGAACACACACGTTTCGCCACGCAGCTGAGGCTGCGATAACAAAATGACTCCATTTGGTCTTAAAGCGCAGTCAGTGATTTTTAATGACTCGTGGCTGAGCACACCTCTAATTTGTTTGGAAAATATTCACGGGTAATGACCCCTCGCACACCAGTTTTCAAGAAAGCAGCACATAAAGAAAGGAAAACCGGGGGAAAAAAAAAACAGCCAATTTAAGCATTTTCACTGGCCCGCTCGTTCCAGCACATAATAGAGACCTGTCCTTCATATGACCGCCCACACACACACACACACAGGCAAACACACACAAGTACACAAATACAAGATGCCTTTTTCTATTTCTTAGATCTGGGCTGTGTTATCGGACCCAGTGTATTGGAGGTTCTCTTCAGCAAAGAGCCAAGTGGCGCTGTTATGGCTCTATCAGCCTGTAACATCAGCACAGTCAGCTCAGCTCAATAGAAATACCACACACTTTATTTCCCCTGGCTCACATAGGCAATGGAAAAAGCAACCTTCTCTCACTTTTTCTTCATCCTTCCCTTTCCCTCTTCATCGAACTTGCACCACTCACTCTTAGATCTCCTTTTTCCTCTCCCTTTCTGCTTTGCATGACGTCTATCTCTCCTCACACCTCTTGCCCCCTCTTTTTACTGTCACTGTTTTCCCCCTCTGTCTTTCCATCTTATCTGTCATGTGGCTGAAAGGTCACGTCTGTGTTGTTTGTCGTCTAAATAAGCTGCCTCCCGCCTCTCGCTGCTCTCCGAAGCGAAGCGGGGAATACACACGCAAACACATAGATCGACCTGTCTGCTCTTATTTTTTTTTTTTTATATCTCTCTCTCTGGAGCTGCCACATACATACATGCACACACTTTCTCCTGCGCCCACCCTCGACGTCCTCCACTTGCCCCCGCTGACCACACAGCAGTTCCTATTGATCACCGCCTCCAACTTCTCTTTGGTTTACTGTCAAAAGGGAGCTGCTGGCCAATAGGCCTACACTGTTCTAAATGTCAGTACATATAGTTGGAGCACTCTGCACAATACACACAAAGAGGAACCTTAACTCACCCCTGGTTTCTCCATAATTTACCTCCAAGCAGCCAGACTTTTAAATTAGTCTTGGTCAATAGTTCTTCAGGTTTTCCAAAGGTCTTCTAAACTTCTTTAGACTTTGGTGGCTTCTTACCTCACGTTCAACTCTATAGCTAATCATTTTCAGATTAAAGTTTTGTTAAGTTGTTAAACCACTGAATTAGACCCCACTTATCATTTGTTGCTAAAGCATGCACACCCCCTGGAACTTTTTTAATTAATCAGTCTGCTTAGAGGATCATAGTAACTCTGGAGGACCTGTACAGATCTACAGCTCAGGTGGGAGATTACATGCAACTTATTCTTATCCTGTTCTGTTGACATGAAAAATGTCATATTTCCAGATAAAGTTAAAAACAAACCATTGGACTTTGTTTCCAAGTTTGAAGGATCGCATATTAGGCATAATCTCCACAAATCCAGCATTGAAAAAAAGGCAAGAAGAAAGTTCTTGCCGAAAATAGTCATAAGAGGTCCAGTTTGTCAAAACAAAAACAGCAGTATTGGGCTGGATGAATTTAATTTGTTTAATAAATTGAATCTGGTCATAATGGATATAAAGATGGATGAGCACCAGTTCATGGAGTTCAATTCTTAAAGAAAAAGCCTCTGTTAGAGGCAGCAGAAGGTTGAGATTGGGGCAGAGGTTCAGCTACAACAGAACAATGGCACCAAATGTACAGCAAGAGCTACAGTACAATAGAACGGCAAGGATGGTCTATTCAAAGTCCAGACAAAGATCTTTGGGTTAATGTATCCCTTAAAACAATACAAAGACTTTAAAGAAAGTGGTAACAAGATGAAATACTAAAAGGCTTAAGGGGCATAAATACTCTAGCAAGTCACTATATAGCAGAGGTGGCACTAGAACCAGTTCTAAAATGGTTCTATGAAAACTATTGAAAGAACAGGTTTAGTTTTCCACATCCAGATACCACATGATTTTGCACTTGAAAATAGATTAATGGAAAGTTTTATAAGCAAAGATTACTTTTTAATTTGTATGTGCCTACTAACATATCACATGTTTAACTAAGAAATGAAGTATTTACCATTCTGGTTTCCTGTCGCCCAAAGTTACCAATGTAAAAAAAAAATAATAATAATAAAACATGAAAGAGTTCATAACCAGTGACAACTATTGATCGAGACCATTTCTAAGGCTGAAAGAAAGTCTGAAGACAGTGTTTCTGTCTATTATCACTATCTATAACTACCTTCTTTACTTTAAACATTGTAACGACCAAAAGTACTCCGGGATAATACGATTCCTACGGTTGACCAGATGGCTCAAAAAGGAGAATATAAATAAGTTTCATCTGACCATCTAATTCAGCTTTTGATAAGAAGTACTTATGCAACACAAGTATGTGTGTGTGTGTGTGTGTGTGTGTTTGCCTTGTAAATGCTGTTTAATGCCATCACCATCACAGAGGGCTTGCTAGACAGATGGCCTGATTTAGAGACTACAGATTACAAGCCGTTATGGCCTTGTGAAAAATCAATTGGTCAAAAAAAAACAAAAAAACAACCAACAACAAAAAGAAAAACAACGGCCACTTCTGGTTTCCTATTTAAACAAACATACATAGCTCTGTCAATGTGAGCTTTGTTATAAGAAGAGGAGCAGAGAGAGAAGTTTTATTAAAGCTCTTTACTGGTTTTATTTTTTTCGTAGGATTGGTTTAATGTTGTGTATATGTTTAACTTCTGAAAGATAAGAGAAACAGGCCTTTCGCTGTTTAAAAAAGTCTGTAATTTGATTTAAATATCTCCAGATGTGTATTAATTTGAATTGTAAATTGTACAGTGCAAGAAAAATGTTAGTAGTTTAGCAGTCATACACTGTCTTAAATTAACTGATATGTTTTAAAATATTTGTCTGAAAAACAGGATTTTTTTGGGGGGTTTGATGAAAATAAAATTAAAACAGTGCATCTTTGACCCTTGTTTCTTTTTCAAACACAGGCCAGTACGGACTGCCCCCGAAAAAGGACCAACCCGCGGGACGCACCACCAGCAGAATCCCAGGTATGGAAGCAAAAATCCCACAAATATACAGAACCACAAAGTGGATAGAGAAAAGGCAAAGACTAGGATACAGAGAAAGCAGCCGTGGAAAGAGGGGAGGGAGGGAGGCAGGAGGTGACAGATGGAGACTATGCAGCAGTGACATCTGCAGATCTCTCTGTTTAATTCCATATTTCTATCCCTCTCTTTCCTTCAAGCTAAGTACCGCGGTTGGGAGAGGGATGGCTAATAGCTACCCTGGGAGAAGGAAGAGAAAAATAGAGGGAGGGCATGACGAAGCTAGTGAAAGAAAGAAAAGGGCAGGGAGTCATTGTGGCCTGGATTCTGTAGTTCTGTCGAGGGACGTAAACGATTGGAAGAAATATGGAAAGATGAGGGGAGAAGATGCATAAAGGGAATAATGGAACAGACCGAAGAGAAGTGAAACGGAAAAAGGAGAGGAGGGGAAGCAATGTGCAGATTCAGGCTCCAAGTCAAAGTCATTCACTGAAGGGAAAAAAGACATGATTCACACTCAGCTGCGTCCATGTCTATTTTTTCTTTTTTTTCTGACAGTGTATTTGTTTGGCAGAATGTGTAAATTGATGCATTCACACTTTCTCACATCACTTGTCCATAAATCTTATATGAGAGGAGTGTTTTATGTGTGAGGTAGACAACAACTGTATGTATATTTGCCAACATAAATGATTTAACTTCACATAATGGTGTTATACCTTTTGGATTTTTAGATGAGGGTGTTTTGACTCAGTCTCAATTAATCTAAGAGGATATAGTTTCAACACTATTATATTGAAATTATTTCCCTCCATCCAGTTCCATTTTATATTGAAAGAAAGGAGACTTATTTAGGAATTTGCTTTCCGTGTCACCTAATTTACACCAACCTCCACTTATCCGGATCAGAACACACTGATAATTATTCACTCAGCACTAACCCACTCTTAACAGTCCACTGAGAGTGAGAATCCGTGGGTTTGCTTCATATTAGGGACTCAGGCGCTCCTGATGATCATTGTCTCTTGTGTGTGTGAGGAAGAGCACCTCAATTCTTCCTTTCAATAAATACACACATAATTATTTTATCAGTTCAGTTATACAGCCCTTTAAAACAGCCAGACAGATGGCTGAAGCAGTTAAAGGAATCATAACCTGGTATTTTACTTAAACAATCCCTCTGAAACTGACTTTAAATTCATGTTTAATCAATTTTAGGTGAATCAAAATTTAAATAGAGTTCATTCAGACCTCTTTGTTTGTTGACTGTTCCTGAGCCTCTAAGACAACAGTTAAAATGTTACATTTACTGACTGCACACAGGGAATTGTTGGAATCACCGACTTTTGGTGGAATATAAATGTTTCAGTATGGTGAGGTCAGATTGAGATTGTATATTTTCTTTGTACTTGGCTCCAGACTTTAAGCCATTTAGTCTTTCTGTTTGGTTTTGGGAAAAAAGTGTTAGTTGCTGATGGTGTGCTTAAAAGGATTTACATTAGGGAGAGAGGGGATGCATCCTAAACAGAGTCCACTGCAAAGTCAGATATTAAAGCTGCAGTCTGTAACATTGAGAAGAGAGCAGACTTCGACTGAAAATTTGAAGAAAAACAGGTTTCACGCCACTCCCCCACCCTCTCTGCTTCACTCATGCCCCACCTCCAAGCTCCACCCCTCTCACAGCATCTGCGCGGCTACCGCATGCGACCAGAAGGGGGGGGGGGATTCAGCGTGTGTGAGCTGTGATTGACACTCCATCAGACGCTCCTCTGGCTGTGATTGGTTGTTTTGACTCGTCCCGAATTATTCTTTCCAGAGTGAAATACAGGCAGTAGGCGGTACCAATTGAAGCAGTTTTTTTCACAGGTTACATATCACATGTACTGCTGTCTGGGCATAGGGACAGTTTTAGCCAATATGACAAAAAAGTGATTTTTAAAAACTTACAGACTTCAGCTTTAAATGATGCATATGGTGATATCCATCCAGACTATCCTGGTTTTCCTTAGTTTAAGCATAGGCAAGATACTGCTTTAATATAGTTGAATTTCTTTCAACTAACAGTTGGATGGAGAGAAACCCCTCCCCTTATGTTGCTGTGCGCTGTCAGTCTGCTCGCTAAAAGAATGCTCCTTCACCCTCGCCATGCATAGGTGAAAACCTACTTTGGCTGTTGTGATATATTTCCAAATATAAACTTATCATCTGTAAAATATAAGGTTCCTGTGAGTGACAGAGCATGACCCAACCAGTAAACACAATGTATACTCACAATTGCTCGATTTCATCAAGTGCTTTTAGTCACAGAATGCCTTATTTTTGTAGCTTGAGCAGAAACTTGTCTTAAGAGGTGCAAATGCATTGCCCGATGCTGTGTTGCCAGGATGCACAGCGCTCACCAATGGTAAACAAGCTGTATGTAGGGCCTCTTCTTTCTCTCATAAACCCAAATGCACACTTACATCTCAATGCATACAATATATCAGTCAACCCAAATCTCTTTTAAAACAACTATTCAATGTTAGAGTGATGCAACAAAGATGATAAAGCAAAGTTTACTTTGGGCTTTGGAAATACCTTAGATCTCATTAACTGATGCCGATACCCCTGTTTATTTTATAACCGCTGTCAGCCATGTTTAAAGTCGGCAAGCACATCAAGTGATTTTTGCATGATCTTCCCACCAGAGCAACAACTGAAAATTGACTTTTCAGGTCGCCTTATTGCACGTTTAAAAAATAGACCTTATTTGGTCATGCTTAATGAATTCGCTCATTAACATGTGCAGATAAGTAAGGGATAACAGCCAACGTTCATTATCATGAAACAAATGGACAAAGGGAAGTCCGTAACTCTCCACTGCAAGTATAGATTATGGTAAATAAATGATCAAATATAAAATGCTTTAATTCTTTTCAAGGTATCTATTTGTTTTTTGTATATCTATACCTTTGACCATACCTTTTAAATAGCATGGTTGTATTTCCTACCTATAGCTGCACATTGCTGAAAGAATAGGAGTACAACCTTCAAGTCAAAACTGTTCTACCCTTGACTTTTTATCCTGTGGGGTCTTTAAGTTTTGAAAAATCACCCAACAAAGTTAAAAATCTTACTGTGTAAACCAGCCTTAAGGCAAAACACTCTTAGTTTTACTAAAATACTTTTTCTCTGCCTTTCCTTTCATTATTTTATATTTCTAACCACCAAGTGCAGAGTCTATGTTTGATTGTCTAGTTTGCATGGCTGTCATTCTTTTTTTATTTTTTTGAAAAATGTATAAATGTAACCTTTAAATATTTACTATTGTGGAAGAAGAGGTAACTTGAAAAGGTCTTACTCAGTTCCACTGTTGAAATAACCAAGGCTTTATTTTATGTAAGTGTACTTTTAAAATTTATGCTATAAAAAGGAAAATTTTAAAGTTTAAGATTTTTTCTGTCGCTATAATCGGCATTAAAAAATTTATCGTCTCCTATTACTTTTTGTTGATGGTTATCTATCCTTGTCCTCACAGCCGACTGTTCTGCAGGTTTAAGGTTTCTAGACATTGCAACACACAACTAAATTGATAAACATTATTTGCAGCATTTGATGGGATGTCATAAGGTATTTCAATCATTTAAGTGAGGTGTGCTGGAGCAAAAAAACATCTAAAACATGAAGGATTAAGTTCCATTGGTTTAAGCAATTGTAATCTCAGGAATTTCAGTAAGTTATTATAAATATGGCATTAAGACCTGTGCTTGGAAATCAGGACAATAAAAGATATAAAGAAAACTTTAGAATTGCTTGAATTATAAAGTCAATAATAGTCAATCACAAGAACCCTCTTAACAGCAATAGTTCCCAGGTTAGAAGCAACATATTGACTCTCAGCAGGTTCAGAGTCTACCTCAGGGCTTCTACCCAGTGGGATGTGTCTGAAAAGACTTCAAAGGCCCACCTAGGAGGCACCTGGTAGCCTTATCTCACCTTATCTCTAAGTCTAAGTCCAGTCACACTATGGAGACTATTAATATTATTTAAGCCACTTGTTTTCAACATCCTTGCCATTCAGTCTTGATGTATATCTCATTTATTATACCAGAGGGACAGATTTGTATTCAGGGGTCTCCAACATCAGCCATATTAATATGCTGCGTCTTGTCGATGCATCCCTGCTTCAGCACATCTGATTCCAATAAATGTATGTCATTTGGCTCTGAGGAGGCCAGGCAACAAGGGATTCTTTTGATTCAGGTGTGCTGGAGTCATGATGCACCCAAAAGTTGCCGGATAATAGCTCTTATTAGAGATGAAGACCTCTCTGGTAGAGAAACTGGTAATAGGGGTGATTTATTTTTTTTTGCTCAGCTCTTTATTTACCACAATAGACTACAGCAGAACCCACATTAGTGAAGATTAGGCTTGGATCCATCTCTGGCTCCCTCCTACAGTAAAGCTACATTCACACAGCAGGTATTGGGGCTCAATTACGATTATTATTATTATTATTATTTTTTTTTGCATTGTCATTTTTGCTTATTTTTATATGCGACTATCATTAGACATTAGTCTAATTAGTTCACAATCCTAAAGTGACCAACAGATGGACTGTAGATAGTAAAACACTTCAGAGGTTACACAGCAGCACCTTCTAGAGGTAATAATGGATGCCAGTATCTCTGCATTATTGTTAAGTTGACAAGTAATGGAAGCTGACAACATGATGACTGCATCATAACAGTATGAGGAGTCTGTGTGCATGTGTAGTCAGAGCCTGAGCAATTACGTAAAAGTGGGATTAAATGTAACATAACCACCCAGACTGACAGACTCTTGAAACTTTTGGATACATCTCAAGTTTTGAAAGCATATAGGAAAGCTGCTCAATCTTTTTGGGGGGGATAAAAGATAATAATTAGGCATATGAACATAGAATATGCATGTATGGATGGATTACTAACTTGAAGAAAGCAGTCCACCATTTGCCGTTGAAAACAATTGCCTCAGACTTATAGAGGTTGAGTCTCCCAGGCGTTTTGTTTTGCTTGTTTCAGCCTTGAGTTGAATCGATAATTGTCTTAAAAAGTCAATATCCCATATGGCAAAAAATATATAAAAATAAATAAAATATATACATTTATCTTTCATAAGTATGTTTTTTTTTATTTTTTATTCCAAGTTGATGTAACTGTGAAGGAGTAGGGTAACGACAGCTAGTGTTTCTGCTTATTTTATTTTTATTTTTACCTGTTGCGTGTTTGTCTCTAAGGTGAATTCATTATTGATATAAGATGGCTAATGGGATCAGATGGAAAGTAAAGCCTCAGAGTCTAAAATGTGGTGATAAAAACAGGAAGGGGAGTAGGAAAATGGAGGGGGTGGGGTAATAAAGGTAAAAGAGAAGAGAATACAATAAAGAGCCTGGGTGAAAAGCGGCATCTGTAATGGAGATGGGGAGTGAGGGATATTGGGTTAATGGACGGAGGATGAGAGCGGGAGTAGGGACCATAATCGACGTCCGGCATCAGGGTTTTGCTCCTGGTCGGTCCAGCGCAACGGGGTGCTGAGTGCCAAAGGGAAGGGGTTGGTGAGGTGAGCCAGTGTCTATATTCCGGTTATGACTGTGTGTGTGTGTGTTTGTGTCAGTATCTGAGTGTACGAGTGTGTCTTTGTTGCCAGGCAGTGAGCTCAGAGCAAGGTAGGTCATTACGGCTACAATAACCCAAAGACAGCGAGGACCACGGAGTGAGGAGGGAGGGGAGGAGGACACAGAGGGAGACGCAGGAGCGAGGCAGAAAGGGATATGTGCCAAGAATAATGATGAACAAATACAAGCGACTCTATCTCAGCCTTAACCAGTTTGAAACTCCTGCTAACACGCTCCCTGCCTCTGTACACACACACACACACACCCACATACAAAAACACACCAACCAACCCCAAGACCATCATTCACCTGCTGAGTTCTGACCCAGCCCCCTGCGGGGACAGCTGCCAAGTCAGAGGCTGTAAAAATCTCAACTTTCATGCAAACAAAGACACACAAAACAGAAAGACAGAGTGAGGACAGCTTGTAAGACCGACAGATAAATAGAAAGACGTTTAGGCAAGAGGGTGAGTGGGCCAGTGTGTGGTCCGGTGATGGGAGTGGACCCAGGAGGCGAACTTCTTGTGGCTGCCGGTAATACTAAGCAAATACTATCCTAAGGGTTAGGGAAATACAGTTTGTTACCTTGATATACACTGTGGCTCAGCCTGGCTCTCCACAAAGCATACACTGTGCACAGCTCTCGCTCACTGCGGACATTCTTCGCTGTTTTTATATGCGCTGCTGTCCACTTCATCACATCAATAAAGAGACCACAAATAAGCTTCTATGAGATCTGCTGCATACTTACTGCATTCCGCTGGGTTGGAGCTGACGCAGCCTCATTGAGCTAAACCATCACCATTACTCATGTTATTGTGGTGTAGGGCCATAAAGATCGGTATGTTTTCTCCAAAGCATGAATTGTGAAAGCGTCCAGTGTTATTGTATTGTTGGGTTTAATGTAGAAGCACTGGGAAGCTTCTCTGGGACCAATGGAGCCTTCAGATAGTTTTTGAAGAGGTTGCCAGATAGGGTACTTACTGATAATCTTCGCACAACACATCAACGCTAATGTACCGAAAGGATATCTGTGACCAACTTTAATCTTCACTTTGACCAGCATGTACGGCTTTTTATGGACTCAGACTTCTTTTCAAGAATCATGCATATATGCCAGTCACCAGGATTAAAGTATTGTTTAAGAACTGTTGGCTTAACTGAAAGTCCTGAGTTCAAATCCAGGGTCTTTAAGGTACTTTGCTTCCCCCCATTGTCCATTAATATTATTTTATTGGCCTCCAAAAAACCACCTGTAGATGTTAGTGTGAACATGCTTGCTTATGTTTCCTGTCTATCCTTGTGCGATAGACTGGGATTATGTCAAGTCATGTCTCTCTTCCATTGACATTTGGAGATAGGCACAAGCTGTAAATCCCCCCAAAGTGCAGGATGTATTTAATGCAGCCAACTGCAGATAGCCCATCTCTTAACCAACTATTATCAGCTTGTACACTCCCAGCGTTACCTTGTTTATAACAGAATGGCAGAAACAACAGGAATACAATCCTGTACATTTTAGTACTTTTCTCAACTGTAAGGTGTAACAAATTATATTATTTACAAATACTGCAGTTAGGAAGCATTTGGAATGACCTCTATCTTGTGACTGCAGTACATTTTTTAAGACAAATATCTGCTTTATTGTGAATGCATTAAAAAATAACTACTACTTTGTTGTAGAGTAAAACATCACAGTGAATCCTATATTTCCAGTATCCTGTATAACAGGCATCCCCAACCTCTGTCCTCAAGGGCAGCTGTCCTGCAGGTTTTAGAGGTTTCCCTGCTTTAGCGCAGCTGATTATAATTATTGCAGTAGACCAAAAGCCTTTTAATCAGTTTTTAATTAAAATCTGCTGTGCTGGAGCAAGGACACCTCTAAAACCTGCAGGACAGTGGGCCTCGAGGACCGAGGTTGGAGATGCCTGCTCTATAAGACTTTACTAGTTCTATTTGGATGCTTAACTCTTTTTAGGTGCTCATAACCCTAAAATTATTGTATTCTCGTTTATTTCAGGGGGAAACTCAACCCACACTCGAGGGCCGTTTGGAGATGGCGGCGAAGGTGAAAATGGACCTCTAGCGCCACCCAACATCGCCCTTATCGCCGGTGCAGCTGGAGGCTCCGCCTTTCTCTTACTGGTCACTGCTGTGATCTGCATTGTGTGCTACCGCCGGAGGCATGCCAAGCACTCTGACACCCACCACCCACCGCTGTCGCTCTCGTCCCTCACCAGCCCTAAGCGCGGCGGTGGTGGTGGGATATCCAGTTCCAACAACAATGGCTCAGAGCCTAGCGACATCATCATCCCCCTGCGGACGTCAGACTCGGCTTACTGCCCGCACTACGAGAAGGTGAGCGGGGACTATGGGCACCCCGTCTACATCGTCCAGGAGATGCCGCCTCAGAGCCCCGCCAACATTTACTACAAAGTATGAGACAGCCGTCTGGACACTCCCGCCTTCCTTCAACCACAACCAGCCAATCACGGCCAACATCTCCCAAATGAAGCCACTGAAAAGTTTGCCATCATAGCTCCAAGCTGGAATGTCTCAGTAGTACCAGTTTTGTCCTTTGAAACCCCTCACCCCACTTGCCCCGGCCACTGTTGTGTTTCTAGCTGAATAAACCCTCCTCCCCGCTTAACCCCTATTTCACACAACTGGGCCATTAGGTGTGTTTAAGGGGTGATATTGTAACCGCACATAGCCCTTCCTAACAAGGCCCTTAAAATTGGGCAAGAGGCTCTGAATTCCCCCGTCTTTTTAACTCAGAGCCAAATGAGCCCCCCCACCCTTTAATGTGGCACACACCCTTTTTCTAAGAGTGTGAACCTGGTGTTGGGATGTTTTAAAAAAAAACGACTGAAAGGACTTTTTAAAAAGGACTATGCTCCTGGACCCACTTGGCAACGATGAACTCTGAGTCTCAGAGACCAACGCCCGCCTTGCCCACCACCCCACCTCTCTTTTAGATCTCTATCATCCAATCTGAGACGAGCCCCCTGCCGCTAACTCGACAATAGCCTCCTAGTTTGTTCGTGTTTGTTTAAATCAAGAAAAAAGGCTATGGGGCCTCGGACTCACACCCCGAGCCCAGACCAGATTCCCGGACGGCGTCTGGTCAATCGGTGACTCGCAGAATCGTGTATATTTTAATAAAATGTGTGTTTGTGTGACTGTGTGCAACGGAGCAGAACAGTTGGGTAATAATTATGGCGCTGCTGCTGCTGCTCCAAATTAGAGTGAAGTTAGTGTTCTTCAGCAAGTTTGCATACACTTCAGTGTGTGCGTGCTTTTCTGTGTGTGTGTGTGTGTGTGTGTGTGTGAGCGTGCGTGCTCTTTAGACTCGTCTCAAATACCAAAACACAAAATAGTGAGCGAATATCAAAAAACTGAGATTTTTTATGGCTATCAACACTTATAGATTATATATATGAATATCCAGTAAATAATTTGTAGATGGTTTTTTTATTGGTTTATTATTTTTACCCACTCTATTAAACTACTCTTATGTTTCTAAATGTTTTCATTAGCTTTTTCGTTTTTTTTGACTATTTTCCACACTTTTACCTCTATATTTTAGTGCCTTACGAAAGTATTCACACCTCTTAGACTTTTTGGAGATTTTGTTACACTATAAACATAAACTCCCGATTTTTTTATATGTTTGTGTAGAGCTTTTATCGAGGTAGGTCAACACAAATGTGTGCATAATTGGGAATTTGTAGGCCTATTTACTCGAACACTACTTAACTAAATCTAGTGCATTGCTATAGAGGCCTTGTCACTCCAAGACCGTTAGAGAAAAAACAAATACATTTGGGCCCTGTCTTTATGCTAAGGCACACTTTGTATTGATCTATAAAATAAAATTTTATTTAATGTTATATTATGACAAAATCTGAAGAGTTTAAGGGGTACAAAAACTTTTGTAGAGCACTGTGCATCCTCTGTTTAACGAAGTTGTTTCTCTGTTTTCATTCTCTCCCTCCTCCTCCCCGAGGTCGACTGTATATTTTTATAGCTCATCGTACTATGCTGTAGTTTTGAGGTCTAGACCTCATTTTCGTGGAAGTGTTGAGGTAGAACCATCAATGGAAGTTTTTTTTTCAGTTATTTTTTTATTTTATTTTTAAAAGGCAGATGTAAAAGAAGCTGTGGTGGGGGGGTGGCAGTGGAGGACGGGGAAGGGGGAAGGTTTAAGAGAGAGGATGAAGTGAAAAAAAAGAAGTACAGAGGAGAGAGAAAGAGCGCCGTCTCGGGAGGAGGAATGAAGCAGCTTCTGAATGCAAAACTTTAAGGAAAAGAGAAAAATGAGCAGGAGGGTGATGAGGATTGACAAGACTGTGAAGCAAACAGGCAAAAAAAAAAAAAAAGGAGCAGCTGGACTAATAGATGAAGGATCCAGTGGAAGGAAGGAAAGACGGACAGAAAGCACATGAAAGAGTGGCTGGCACAAGAGGAGAAACCTCTGAGGTGCTGGACTGTCAGCCAAAAGAAAAAGAGCAAAAAACGGATTTCGGAGGAGTTGAACTCTACATGCCACAGACATCCACACCCACACATCCACTGTGACTCCGGCACGTTTCGGATTCGTTCCTCTCTTTCTCCCGCCAACATTTGTGTTGAAACGCACACAACACACTCTCTCGGATTTCACGCGTTTCTTGACGACCGTCGGATGACATCCTCCAAACACGTTCACCCACATTCAACATGAAAATGTTACTTTCATCCGATTTCTGTTCTCCTGAATCACGTGACGGACGTGAAAGGGATTTAAAAAAATGATTGATTGTGTTTTGTTTCCTCTCTTTCGCACACACAGATACTTACATAAATACACACCAGTGCCCTGCACCTCAACCTCAGAGAGCAGCAGCCCTTCGCTGTGTGGGGAGGTGCATAATGTTCACCTTGTGCATACTAATAAAGCTGTTTTGTGTTGCTCAGACATGTTTTTTGGCTTATGTGTAAACCGCGGAAAGCTTATGCTTTTTCTTTTTTTCTTTTCAACTTTGTCCAGACACAAGAAGATTCCAGTGTTATTGCCATGTTTCCTGTGTGAAGCCAGTGTTAAAAATCTGAACCTTTTCACATTTCTCAGACGTGTTTTTGTACCAGTATCATATAATCTTTCATACCTAAGTGTCGCATTCGTCTAAAATGACTTTGTTCCACACATGATGTTTTATTTTTGGATTGTTTTCAATACCACGGAGGAGTTTAGATTGTATTTTGACTGTATTAAAAATGATTTTGGAAAAAAAGACAGAGAGAGGGGGAAAAAGCACCTCAAATTCTCCTTTTTTTTTGTAAAACTACCACCTTTTTTTTTTTAATGTATAATGTTTATTTAAGTACTTAAACAAACTTCAAGCCAAATGAAGTGTCTGTTATTCTCTGAAAGTCCAAAATGAAAATATTTGACTAAAAAGGGGGAAAAAGTGAATAATTGTGGGCAAAAATTAAACAAAACGAAATCCACTTTCTAGTCCATTTTCCTCCTTTTTTCCACTCAGCAGAATGTCAGCTACACTCTGCTTAGAGGTTAACATGCAGCCATCATCAGAATGAACGTCATCTCCATTTAAGATTTTTAATGGTTATAATTTGAACCATACTTTTTCCGCATTGAAATGATGATTAAAGAGTATAACTTAAAATCTAAATGCAAAAACAATAAGTGTAGAGCTTATATGTATACACCTACTAATATTTTGGGTCTTAAGTTTTGGGGTAGAAACAACTCTTTTGCTGCTTCTGGTGTAGTTGTGTTGGTCATTTGTCCAGTTTCCTTAATTGATAATTGAAACCAGTTTGTTTCCTGATAGGCTTTGGATCTGGTTCATGTTAATAAACTCGATCCATTCTGTAAGCTGTGTTCACATGTATTTGGGATTACTTACCTGTTAAATAGCCAATAATTTAGGCAACACCTTAATGCTTTATGGTAAAATTAAAGTCCACTTTCTTTATGCATATGCCCGTACTACTAGTAGTCAGGCAGGCTACCACAACGAGTGGTATAACATCCTTAGCAGAAACAACCTCACTTTTATTCCTCTAAAAAGATGTTGTCACTATTGCCTATAATCTTAAAGTTGGTCTCATTTAAAACAACAAATACTTCCCACATTAGGCAATAAAGACATGATTCACATAAAAACTTAACAAATTTAAAACCCTCCTAATACATGTTGATGTAAAACCAAACATTTATTTGCCAAAATCAACAGGTTTTTAGCAAAATTCTTGTTTGATCTCTGCCCACTCTTTTTGTCAAAGTTGTCCTTGATGTTAGCCCTATTTTCGAACTGTGTTTGAGGTTTAATGTCCAGCAGAAATAAGAAACTTTGGCTTTATTTCAACCCACTAAGGGCTGATTTAAGGTGAAGTTGAAGAATTTGGAGGTACTACTTATCTTCCTATATTCCAACTGCAAAGCATCATTGCAACTAATAGATAAATGTTCCCTCATTATGATACTACCACCAGTTTTATATATATATATATATATATATATATATATGTAACTTATATATAGCTTTAATTATTCGAGGTAACAACATAGGAGGTAACATAGTTATAAGAACATAAACTATAAAGAAATATAGAAACATTCCTTTAAGAACTTTTATTTATGAATAGATAGAGTCCATGCTGATGTTAAACTGCCTTGGAAGGATGCTGTTATTCATTGTTCCTCTAGTTTATAATCAGCTTGAGTATGGGGGATTTCTACATTATTCTTGAACATAATCGCCTTCACTCAGGACCAGGGGACAGCTTTGGTCAGATCAAACTTGACACAGTTGGGTGTTCTAACAGGGAGGTGATCCTTAACATGCCAAAAGTGGATTTTAAAAGGCTTATATAAAGCTTCCTGAATGGCCTCCCGAAAGCCTCTGACCTCTCTTTTCCTTTATTGGACATTCTGACAATGTTTTGAACCAGCTTAAAATAAGCTCTTCAGATTTTTGATAAAAGGAGCTGTCAAATATCCAATCAGGATTTTCCCAGAAGCAAAAGAAGAATTTACAAAAGGGCAACTTAACCATAACCAAATAATAATAAGGGAAATGTATATATAAGCTACATCTTCCATAATAAACCCAAATTGGTGCATCCAGTTATATTTTTAAGCAGTTTATTCTTTATTGAACATATTGAATTTGCACCGATGAAGACTTTATGTGAACTTTTAAGCAGAGCTGTATCGCTTGGACTCAGTTCAATCCTCATGTAGATGTTATAATTTGAAGTTGTGTCTTTAGCTCTCACAGTTTTTCAAGTTTTCTAAGAAAAAGGAAAATATCAGACCAAGTCCACTTTTTTGAAGCGGGATGTGAAATGCTGTTTCTGTGGTATAGAAGAAATAGAAAGACGGAGACAAAAAGAGAACTGCTGCCTCACCTCCCCGTTGGTTAAAACTGTGTGTATGTGCATAAAACGTGCGTGAGCTTCTTTGTGCCAATAGCCGGCTAGCGGAGGCCGATGGTCGACGCAGCGCTCCTATGTGATGTGTTGCGACTTTGTATTTTGGGGACACCTCTGTGTGAAAAGGGTTGTTTTTTTCTGTTTGTCCTCTCCTCTCTTCCTTCTCCTCTTTCCTTGTTACCTCCTTTCCTACTCACCACCACATCCCCTACCCTTTTTCTCTTTTCTCCTCACCCACCCTTTCCTCTACCAACACACCTCTAATGAGAGGAAAAATTAGTACATTCCTGGTTTGGAAAAAAAAAGTTGAATAAAAAAAACAAACAAAAATGTTTAAGCACCACTCCTTTGGTTCCTCTGTGTGAGTCATTATGAAGAAAGATCTTTTGTTCTGCCTTTAGAGGAAGAGAAAGAAAGTTCTTGAGGCCCTCTAACCCAGCCTTTAATAGCAGGTCTCTCTCCCCTTATCTCTCCTTTGGGTTGGTCTCTGCAGGGGCTCTTTCACTGCCTCTGCTAATAACATGTCCATCTCAGACATATGCACACACACACACAGACTCTCCCACCGGTGTTATCAAGAAGTTATCAAACCCAGCCTGGTTAGAGTTGAAAGTTGCCTGGCAACGTATTGACAGAGCACCACCTCGAAGCCCCTCTTCTTCCTCCATTTGCCCCTTCAGCTTTGTGGCGCATTTCTATAGCAACTATTGGCGTCCATTCCAAAATGTGCTCCATCCGGTTGTAGATCTATTATGTGGGTGTCTGTGTATAAATGGTGTTCTTCACCATTCGAAGCATGCCATGCCATCAGGGTGGCCGTGGGTAAAATGACCAGGCGGCTGCCTTTACCCTTTGATCTGTGATGCATGAGAGTAGATTACTTGCTGTCACACACATTCTCATACGGTGGTCCCACCTACACAAACACAACCACATGTCTCCACGCAATCTTTTGGAATACCCCACACGGCTGTTGATCCTAGAGGATGCTCGCCGTTGCCTCTGCCATGACTACCAGTCATTCTGGGAGGGATTTTGTTTTCTGTTTCCTACCAAACTGGTTCCACTTCTAAACCGGCTATTTTCTCTTTCCATCGCTGAATCACTAAACTGCCACTGAGAAAAAAATAAATAAATAACTCAAACTCCTTACTGATCCAGTGAGAAGAACCTCCCTCAACAGATGGTGAGTTTTCTTACTTTAGGAAACATGTTTTCACCATTTTCTCACACTCTTTTACATAAAAAGTAATTATATTTAATATTAGTAATAGGTGTCGACCCATACGTATAGGCCCATTTACCATTTCACGAAAAATGAATAATAAATCTCTTGAATAGAAGCTGTCAGAAAACATGAAGTAGTTGAAAAAGCGCATTATATATTGGTAAAAGAAAACGAAAAACCAAGCCATTGACTATCATGCAGCTGGACTGAGTTGCAGAAACCATGTTTGTAAGGTTTTGGTCCTCCAGATAAACACACTGACAGCTATTAGGTACAAATGGAGAAAACATGGAAGTGTGGCGAACCATCCAATAACCTGGTTACCCAGGTTATTGTCACCCTGAAACAAACTCTGTTCAAGCATGTTGGGCTCAGCTTTAGCACTTTTTTCTAGTTTTACACCTTTTATTAGTTCAAGTGAATCTAGTAAAGCTCATTTAGTATACATAGTTGCTCACTTGCATCTTTAACCTACTGTACATTCATATTTTGTAGAGAGCTTAGAAATGATTGAAATAAATGTCAACAATCAAAAGACTTAATGCAACAACAGCTGCATTATTGGACATTTCTTTAAAAGTGATGAGAAGTCAAATTCACTGGTTGCGTTCTACGTATGACACAAATCTGTGTTATTCAACTGATTCTAATAAGAAACAGAGGTGGAAGATGTTCTTTTTTTTATTTTCTAAACAAAAAAACTAAACATCACGAAAAAGAAAGTGCTTTTCTTTGGATGGAGCCCAGGTGTGTGTCAAGGTAGGAGAACATCTGATATCAATTGTTCAAACTAGTTGTTATTTTTACAAATAAAACTTCCAGACTCCTCTTAGAAAACCGAAGAGGAAGAGTGGTTTAATTTTCAGGGATTAGAGTACATCCAAGCAATCATTTAAACTTACTGAAAAAATAATGATTCCAGAGTTAAAATAAAGTCTTAAAATGTTAATGAATAGATTCCAAAGCAACAGCTGGGGAAACATGGAGTCACTGGAAGAAAGTTGGGACAGATGGCCTCACAATCAGAAAGGAGTGAAGATGTTTTACAAGTTAGTGGGGGCAAACAATAATAAATCACTGTTTGGGGTCTGATAAGAGTCCAAAAAAAAAAAAAAAAAAACTGAATAGAGAAATTAAGGCAAGGCATGACAATTTTATCTGTATAGCACAATTCAGTACATTTACAATTCAAACTGCTTAACATAAATTAGATAATAAAAGAATAAATGCAATCAAATAAATAAAAAATAATTGGCTTTTAGCACTTTCACAGTCTTCTGGAAGTTTGTTCCAGATAATTGGTACATAGGAACTAAATGCTGATTCTCCATGTTTGGTTCTAGTTCTGGGTGAACAGAGTAGGCTGGAACTAGAAGACCTGAGTGGTCTGGCAGGTTCATAAAATGACAAGAAATCTGTTATGTATTGAGGTGCTGAACCATTCAGTTATTTATAGACTAACAGAAGGATATCAAAGTCTATTCTCTGAGCTGCAAATTAGTTAAACATGCCAGCTGAAATACTGCACATAGTTTTCAGGTAGTTGTGCTATATCCTAGATTTCACTGCATGCTTGTTTAGTTTTTTTTTT